ATGTTGTTTTCTTTCTGACTTTTTACTGTTTGTTTGTGTTCTAGGACCAGTTCCTCAGGGCAGCTCCAGTGTCAGGGGGTGTCGGGGAGTTCCTGATGAGAAAGATGGGGTGGAAGACAGGCGAAGGGCTCGGGAGGAACCGCGAGGGTACCGTGGAACCCATCGTTATCGACTTTAAGGTCGACCGCAAAGGTACGAGAAACCAAGTGATGCACTTTTTGGTGCTGAGTCTCGACAATAGATGCTAACACAAGCTTTGCAAGACGGTGATAGTGAAGGCAGTGGGATCTATATGGTGTCATAGTGCATGGATTTAGTGTTGTTTGGCCACAAATATTAGTTTATAGTACAAACTCACATTTTACTCTCTAGGGAAGTGGCCCCGTATGGGTGATATTATAAAGAATACATTATTGATGTTGATTTTAATGTTTTAGGTCTGGTTGCTGAAGGAGAGAAACTACAGAAGCAAACTGGTGGACTGGTAGTAACCAAGGATCTAATGGGTAAAACACACCTGAATTTGTTTCTTTAAAGATGCTGATACTGTTGACCTTTAGTCTTGCAGCTCATCACAAGAGCCAATCAGAGCCACTGGAGCAAATACAGAGTAAACTTGTTCTACGTGCATTTCTTTATGATAACGATGCACTTAGGAGCAGTGAGAGGCAGCTGAAGGAGAATCAGACCCTGCTGTTAGAGGTTTCTGCTGACTGTGTCATCTGTGAGGCTGTGATAGCTGGAGAAATCTGACAGCTCATGAGTGCAGAATTGATACAGAACGAATATATTACTCCACCAAATCTGAAATCCGTGTGTATCAGCTGACATTTAGGATTGACAGAAGAAGATAAAACAGTATTTATGTCCAGAAACGAACCAGTTTGCATGTTAAAGAAGTTACTGTTAAGTCCATAAACGCAGCAGCACTTACATGTTTAGGCATTCACCTCTAAAAGGAAAGTTCCAACAAACACATAAACAATAAACAACCTTGCTGCTGCACGTCTTTGGTAAATCCAGAACTTTTCATTTCCAAAGTGCAGTTTGCATCGTCTGGCTCTCAGCCTTTATCCACAGGATCAAAGTATCGTAGCGTCAGAACGGTGTGTGTAATTTATCCTCAGCAAAATGATGTGAATCAGAGCAAAGGTGCAGATATACGTGATTATGTGCAACATACTTCGGCAACTCTGCCACTACAACTTCACACCGACATATAAAATGTACAAAAACCAGAACAAATAAGCCGCAGTACTGATATTGTCCACAGGATGGCGATCTTACATAAACAATAAACAGAATTCTCTGAACTGTTTTTGCAGTCGATCTTTTTTCAGGAATAGTAACTTCTAAATCTGCAGTAAACCACAAAAGCTCCTGCAAGGGTCTGAGCTGCATGTCAAACATAAACAAGGACAAAGATATTCATCATAAATGCTTCTGTAGAAAAGAACTTCTGCAGAACATCTCTTCCTCTGAGCGTCGTCCAAATCTGATGATGTGCTTTTCTCTGTGTGCAGGGAAGCACCCGGTGTCTGCTCTCATCGAGCTGTGTAACAAGAGAAAGATAATGCAGCCGGATTTTGTCATGGTCCATCACAGTGGTCCTGACCACCGCAAGAACTTTCTTTTCAAGGTGGGTCATTTTCATTCTGTGTGAAGCTGGTGACAATCTGCACCTTCTCCACTACGTCATGAAGTCCC